GAGACATGTCCATAAACTACAAGGCCAAAGAAGCTGGGCTGAGAAAACAAGAACTGGCCCACCCTGCTTTGCCTCATGACACAAAGCCCTCCACCTAGCTTAAGAGAGGCAGGAAGACAGCCCAAGAAGGGACGGCACTAATTTAAGCAGGGGAGAATTATTACTTCCTCTACTTCTATGTGCTTAGAGATCACAACTCACAGAAGACAATAGGCAGGAAAAGAGAAGGTCTGGCAGTGCTGGCACACTGTATCCTGAGGAATGTCCCCCAAAAGAAAGCCCTGAAAATGTGGAGATAGGAAGAGTCTGGGGTTCTTTTAGCCTGTCAAAGAGTTAGGGTGCCAAAAGAGAAGAAACTGTAACTAGGTGGATCAGGTTCAATAGAGTAGAACACTTAATGCCTATATGCCACCAGGAACTCTGTGAGGTGTATGCATCAACCTGACCTCAAGCTGCAGATTTCAGAAGGAATCAACCAGGGAACAGTGACTAGAGGCCACAAGATGGCCACACATTCTGTGTGTGCAGATCCTTCACCACTATACTCCGAGGAAGAGCATCTAGCTGGCAATGACTTCCTATAAAAATAAAGATTTTAGAAAAGTTCTATTCAGAAAGGTTTAGGAAAAGGATGCGTCCTCTGAACACAAATGTAGAAATGCAGTACAGTGGGATGATATAAAAGTAAAAGAAAATGAGATGCAAAAAGACAACTGATTCGGGTAATTGAGTTTTGACCTCAAGTAGATTTTGGTTTGAATTCTGGATTTTTCAGTTGTTAGCTGTGTGACCTTGGACTAGTCACTTAATTTCTTTAAGCGGCTCACATCAATAATCCTAGCACTTTGGGAGTCTGAGGTGGGAGGATCACTTGAGCCCAGGAGTTTGAGACCAGTCTGGGCAACATAGCAAGATCCTATCTTTATTTTTTTATTTTATTTTTCAAACAGAAGTTTTGATTTCTTCATTGGTAAAAGGGGATCAAGAAACTATTTACTATCTCAGGGTTACGCTGAGGTTTAATGCTTATTAAATAGTGGTCACTACTATACTAACAAGCTTGGAAGAAAAGGGTACTGATTAAAACAGAGACAGCACTACAAAAAAACTAAAAATACAAACAACAATAATCTATATTGGAGATATTAAAGTGTAGGATTAAAATTGCAAACGTGTCTAAACTGGTAACGCAGAAGAGTTCCAAAGGCTGAGAAAAATGACAAAAAAAATGAAAAGGATGAGAGAAAAGCTGAATCAGGGATTCAATATAGTAATTAAAGATATTTTTGAGACATAAATCAAGCAGAACAAAAGCAATAAACTAAAATATGAACAAGGAAAACCTCCTGGAGTGAATAATCATCTCAGTATGCAGTTCCAGGGCTCATTATATTTCAGGTAAAATTAATTTCAAAACATTTTAAACACACACACCTAGATATAATTCAGCGAAAAATGTAAACTATAGAAATAATTTTTTAAATGCCTCCACAAAAGGCTTCAGGGACCAGCTAAACAGAAAGACCTTTCCAACATTCTGTAAACTATTCCAGAGCATAGGAAAAAAATAGAAAAACTAACCACATTATTTTACGAAGTGAGTACAACCAAGACAACAAAACCTGACACAAAATAGAAACCACTAACTCCACTTTCACTTCTGAATTGATGCAAAAATCCTAAATGAAACCCTAGCAAACTGAATTCATCAGTATAATAAAAATACATACGCACAATCAAGTTGGATTTTACCTAACAAAGCAAAGATGATCCAAGATTAAGGTATCTATTAATACAGTATCAAAATATAAGACAACCCTATTTTAAGCTGATCCCCATTTTCTCAGTGAGAAGTTCCAAATATTATTACTACCAGCTTGAATAAATATAGATGTTTATGAAACAGTCAACTATCTGTTTGAAAGTACAATTATACATACATATTTGCAATCATATAATGAAGGAAATATTTATCTTAAAATATTTTTCCATTCTCAAATATCATGAAAAAAATTGTATTCCAGCTCTTCCCATGAACTCTTCTTTCTGTCTCTCTTTCCTTCTTTTGAAACATGGTCTTGCTCTGTTACCCGGGCTGGAGTGCAGTGGCGCGATCTCAGCTCACTGCAGCCTCAACCTCCTGGGCTCAAGCAATCCTCCCGCCTCAGCCCCTCCAGTAGCTGGGACTACAGGCATATGCCACCACACCTGGCTAAGTTTTGTATTTTTTGTAGAGACAAGGTTTCACCATGTTTCCCAGGCTGGTGTTGAACTCCTGAACTCAAGTGATCTGCCTGCCTTGGCCTCCCAAAGTGCTGGGATCACAAGCATGAGCCACCAAACCCAGGCTCCTATGCATTCTTGATGGGAATGTTATTACAAAAGCCACTTGGAGATATTTAATACAGTCTTCCAGAACTAGCATCTTCACTTCTGTCTGAGCACATTTAAGCCTAGGTACAATACATTAATCCATATATACTTTCACTTCAGAAAATCATTTGTTCTGGAATTGCATAATTGTGATCTCTAGAACGAAGACTTGTTTTATAAACTTATGACTTCCAATTCTTGCAACAATGAGGTCATTTCCCGGGAATAATTTTACTACATCCGTGTTAAATGTCCTAGCATCTTTTTTTAAATTGATTCTTTCTAGTAACTTCTCTAGGCATTCAAAACCAGCACTGATCAAAATGCTATACCAGGATATTCAAAATAAATTAAATTGAGAATGACTCCCAGAATCCAAGAGATCATGTAAGGATTGAAATAGGTCTCCCTTTTTTTTTCTGAAGGATAAGTTTTGGGAGAAAAACAAATTTTAACCTTTTTTACAGCAGGACATACTTAGAAAATTATGGTATTTGGATAGCACCCATGCGAGTGTACAAGGCTGCTCAGGGTAGATGCTATTCCGGCCCTGCCCAGGCTCCTCAGTAGATCAATATTGCAGCATACCATATGGAAAGCTCTGCTATATCATGAGATCCTATGAGAACACTGAGATCATCAGCTGGGAGGCAGGATACTGTAGTGGAGCCAGGCTCTGCCCGGCTGCGTGAACTGGGGCAAGTTACTTACGCTCTTTGTGCTTCAGTTTTCACATCTGCAACATGGGACAATAATAGTTCTCAGAGAATTCGTTATCATGAGGATTCACTGAACTAATTCGCAGGAAGCACTTAGAACTGCCTCCCACACATACTAACTGCTCAACAAATGCCACATTCAATAACTATGCCTGATTGAAAGCAAAACAAAACAACTCGTAAAACAACAAAACCACAAAAGTATGAGTAGAACACCAAGATGAATTCCTCAGCATATCACCTCACCCCTACATGGTTACTTTACAGTAAAACTCACCAGATGACAAGCCTGACCTCGTACTTGAAGTTTCCATCAAATTGTTAGACTCCAGCCAAGAATCTCTAGGGATTTGAGAAAACCAAACCACTCTCATTAAAGACAGACTAAAACAAAGATATAAACAAACTGAAAAAAAAGAACTCAAAAGGAAGAGAGATAATGTTGGCAATATTAGCAAACTTTAAAAAAATATATACATACATATATATACACACATAACACACATATAAGAGTAATGGTTAAGAGCACAGGCTTTGGGGAAACAAGTTATGACATCTATAAATTAAAAACAGAACTTTACAAAAAAGGAATTATCAGAAAATGCAAAAGAGTTGCTGGTAATTAATAGATGGCAGTTGAAATAAATTCAATAGAAAGCTTACCACACAATAAGATTTCCAAACAGAAGAAGAAAAATAAAGAAAACAGGAGATGGGGGAAAAAAAGACTAAGAAAAATTAGAGGACTGACCTTACTAGGTCAAATAATAGGAGTTCTGTACAGAAAAAATAGGGGAAGGTGGGATGGAGGGCCACACAATTCCAAAATAAAACATACAAGAAAATTCCCTATAACAAAAGGATCTGCATTTTCAGATTGAAAGTGTTCTCTGAGTACTCAGCATGATGAATAAATGACGATCTACACTCAAAGCACAACACAGTGAAATTTTAGAAAACTGTCTCTAATAAGAGGGGAAGTTGCATATGTAACAGATTAGGAATAGAATGGCATTGCCATAATGAAAGTGATTTTCAAAAGTAATCTTTGAGATTATGAGTTTTATTTCTCCCTTCTTTTCTAATTTGTCTACAATAACATATATAACTTTTATTGTCAGAAAAAAAAATTTTTTTTGAGACAGAGTCTCGCTCTATTGCCCAGGCTAGAGTGCAGTGGCACAGTTTTGGCTCACTGCAACCTCTATCGCCTGGATTCAAGCAGTTCTGTCTCAGCCTCCTGAGTAGCTGGGACTACAGGCACTCACCACCACGCCTGGCTAATTTTTGTATTTTTAGTAGAGACGGGATTTCACCATATTGCTCAGGCTGGTCTTGAACTCCTGACCTCAGGTGATCCACCCACCACGGTCTCACAAAGTGCTGAGATTACAGGCATGAGCCACCGTGCCCGGCCCCCAAAACAATTTTAATACAAAAAAAAAAAATCTAAACTTGGAGACACTTGTGTAGATTTAAATGGCTCCATTATTTATCTGTCTTCATAATGTCACAATCTGTCTCTTTGCAATGATACAGAGACCCTTCTAGTTGGCGGGAGTTGTGGCCATAGAAGATGTCTGGGTTGTAGAGACAGCTGGGAACAAGCCACTCTAGGGATTCACTACCCAGCAGCCCTGTATATGAGTGATGTCCACTCATACATACTCAGTTAGTGAACGTATGTTTTCAAGCCACAGCCCCAGAATATTTTGATATCTGAGGGAACAGGGGAAGCCCATCACTCTTTTTCCTTAGATACATCTTTCCATCTACTATTACCATGTCTCCACTATGGCAGTTTGCATTTATTTAAACAAGGCAATGCTAACTGCTCCAATTTGTCTTCATTCCACCTATTGAATACCATCTCTTTGCCAAGAGATGATTTCCTATTGACAGACTTACCTGTAGAAAAGATGAACACCGTGTTGTTCCAGAGCCCACTGCTTTTTAAGGCTGCAGTGACATTTCCTACTGCTTCATCCATAAGGGACACCATTCCTGCATAGTGATGCCTGTTCTTGTCTTGGATAAAGTCATATGGCTTTAGGTATTCCTCAGGAACCTGAAGGGGCTCATGCACAGACTGGAGAGCAAGGTAGAGAAACAGAGGCTGGAAAGAAAGTTTGTGCAAATCAGTTAAGAGGACATGGAAGCGTTAAATATAGAAGGATAAGACAGTTCAGATTTATGCATTAATAAAAATAATATCAAGACAACCTACAGAAAGGATTGAAAGTATTTGTGAATCACATATATGATAAGGGACTCATCTCCAAAATATATAAAGAACCCTTACAACTCAATGAAAAAAGACAACTCAACTACAAAATGGGCAAAGAATCTGAATAGCAATTTCTCCAGAGAGGATATACAAAAGGCAATAAACACATGTAAAGACAGTCAACATCATCAGTCATTATTAAGATGCAAATTAAAACCACAATGAGGTAACACTTCACATCTGCTAGGATGGTGATAATTTAAAAATGGAAAAGAACAAGTATTGTTGAGAATATGGAGAAATTGGAACTGTCACTCATTACTAGCAGGAATGTAAAATGGCACACGTAGCCACTTTGAAGAAACATTTTGGCAGTTCCTGAAATTGCAAAACATAGAGTTACCATATGACCCAGCATTTCCATTCCTAGAGAAATCAAAGCATACATCCACCCAAAAACTTGCATGAATGTTCATTGCAACATTATTCATAATAGCCAAAGAGTAGAAATAACGCAAACATCTATCAATTGATGAATGGAAAAACAAAATATGGTATATTTTCAGCAACATATGGCAATAAATAAAATAAAGTATTCTTATATATATACTACAACATAGATAAACCTTGAAAATATTATACTAAGTGAAATGAATCAATCATAAAAGTCCTCATATTATACAATTTCATTTACATGAAATGTCCAGAAATATAGGCAAATCTATAGAGACAGGGAGTGGTTGCCTGGGGCTGTAGGAAATTGTCGGGGAGAGGAATGGTGAGTGATTGCTAATAGGTACAAGGTTTTTTTTGGGAGATGATGAAAATGTTTTAAACTTAGATTGTGGTCATGGTTGCATAACTGAAAATTTACTAATGAATTGTATCTTTAAATGAGTGTATTTTATGGTATGTAAATTTTGTCTCAATAAAGATATTAAAAAACATAACAAAAGACACAGGACAAAAAATTGGAAATAAAAGCCAGAGTCCCAGAACAGCCTCAATGGATCTAATCCAAACAAATAATAATATCAGTAATGGCAACCACATAGTAAATGTTTTCTACATACTAGACAGTATGATAATAATTTACATATTTTCTCTCATTTAATGAAACCACCCTATGTTATAGTAATTTTACTATAGATGATGAGTTAACTGAGGCTTAGAAAGGTTATATGTGTGATTTGTCCAACTCTACATTAATTGAAGAGCAATTTCCTATTGGAAAAACCCACTATTACGATATGGATGTGTACCAATAGATGCTTTAGCTTTTTGCTTTAGCTGAAAATAAGCCCTCATCTTTTAGAAGAGGTTTAGTATATTTAAAAAATATATTTTATGAGGAAAAAAAGTGAACACCATGCCTTGTTAGTCTTTGATGCAGGACCAAACATAAGACCAGTTTAATTCCTGAAACTAAGAAGTATGACACACGGATTCTATTTCACCACTTACATCAATTTGCAACATTTAGCATTAGTGGTATTCCAGGTCAGCTTCTGCGTTTTAATGAGCCTTTCTGAAGGCATTCTCTTCATAGTGCTCCTACAGAATTCTTTAATGAGTTGAAAACCCTCAAAGAGACAACAACTAGTGTAACCCAAAAATAAACATATAATTCTGTTAAAGTATTTGAGGCATTTAAATCTCATAAATGAATGAAAATGGTTAGAAACAGACTTTGGGGGTGCTCATATTTCATTCTTCACTGTTGACAAGTTGTTTTAAATTTGTATTACACATCTTTGTAATGCAGAAAGGAGTATCCATATATAGAGCTCAAATAGACTCCCCAAAAGTTTACTTATTGTTCAGGTCTTTGGAACTCAGAAATACATTTTCCCTACACTCAAAAAGTTAAAAATAGCTGCTAAATATCAAAGTCATTGCTTTAAAACCTATTAAACTAAGGAGGCAGGTGATGAAATGAAAATGATGATAATGTAGAACCCGTACTTCCATTACTTCCACGGGAAACATTCCAAATTCCCACTCCAAAAGTCTATTCTATAACCTCTGACACCATTTCAGTTCTGCCTCTGCTTCCCCTCGACACACACACCTTCTACTCCAGCTGCATGGTCATGCTGAAGCGTCTATGTTCGTGTAGACCATGGTGCAGGACATCCCAACAGATGCCTTGCTTGGGGGTGATGAAGTTCCCGGCTGCGATGTCCGGAAGGAAGAACGTGCAGGTGCATCGCTGACCTGACAGTGCAGTATGGGTCTGCTCTGGGTACTGCTATCTGGGTCTTCAGCACTAGACTGAGCCAACTCCAGTCACCAGCCAAGGTCCAGATGGGGATAGGATTAAAAATCGGAAAGCTACAACAATTTGCAGCCCACAGAAAGTTTTTAAAAATCGGGAAAAATCACATCAATCTGTTTTTATATAAAAAAAATTTGGGGGAAAAATCAGAATTTCTGACTACTCCATCTGGTAACAAAAGGCTGGAGTATGAGAAACAGAGGCCCCATCCCCCTCAAGTGCAAACACAAGATTTTGTGACTTTGATCTGGACTCTTAACAGTGGCAGGGAGTAGGGGATACAGTGGGGAGAGAGGGAGCCCACAGCTTAAGGAGAAAATGTTCTTACCCAGGTCATCAGCAGCAACATGGCAACCACCTGGTGAAGGAGAGAAAGGACAAAGAGGGCAGTAGATTCCCAGCCAGCAACTGATTACTAAAGGCAATGGCTGGGAAGGGGGACAGGGGAGTTCCTGAAACAACGACAAGGGAAAAAAAGATTTTGGGACCATTATTAAAGGTTCTTATAAACATTCAGTATGGAAATCATTCTACTCACTTTGTTAAATATGGCAAAAAAAAATCTGAAAATCTTTCCCATAATTATTCCTTAGTAGCTAAAGACATGACCATCACTTTTATAAAAGAATATAAATTTTCAGGAACCTCTAAATTATGTCAAGGGGAAAATTAAGTCCTGGAGACTGTGTCACATAGCATGTTTGCAACTTCTGTTTCTTAGATTATAGAGTAATTCTCTTCCTTGTTGCTCTTGTTCTGTAAATGACTGGGAAAGACCAGAGACCAGACACCTCTCCTTCTTACTGAAGATCTTTGTTATAGATTAACCACCTCCTTTATTGTCCTGTACCTAACTCAGACCAGATGACTTAAAAAACACCATGACTGTTACATCTTCAGTGTGGAATGTTAAACATACCTTTCCCAAAAGAAAAATACCACCTTGACTAATCAGAGCATTGTAACTATGCAGTAAGCCTTACACAAAAAGATGTTGACATTCTTTTAAGCTCCCCTAAATGTTGTCTATGTAAGTGATGTGGTTTGTCTGTGTCCCCACCCAAATCTCATCTTGAATTGTAGTTCCCATAATCCCCATGTGTCATGGGAGGGACCTAGTGGGAGTTAATTGAATCATGGGGGTGGTTACCCCCATACTGTTCTCGTGATAGTGAATAAGTTCTCACAAGATCTGCTGGTTTTATAAGGCACTTTTCCCCCTTTGCTTGGCATTTCTCTCTCCTGCTGCCATGTGAAGAAGGACTTGTTTGCTTCCCCTTCCACCACCACTGTTAAGTTTCCTGAGGCCTCCCCAGCCATGTGGAATTGTGAGTCAATTAAACCTCTTTCCTTTATAAATTACCCAGTCTCAGGCAGTTTTTTTTGTTTTTTTTTTTTCCTTGCAAAAACCCTCAGCTCACTGGAGGGCCAGTGGAACTCAGGCAGCTCTTTATAACAGCATGAGAATGGACTAATACAGTAAGAAATCCCAAACTTCTACACTTTGAAACACAGACTTCCATTCTTTGGAATCTGTGCTTCCCAAGAGGCCATCCTTAAACTCTGTACTTGAATAAACTCTCTTTAAACTACATTCTGATCCTTTTGATTATTTTAAGTTGACACTCTTGAGGGGTTAAAAATAAGAAACTATACCAGTCTGTATCAGTTGTATAGCCCATTTCAAGAGGTCAGGACTGATGCACATTTTAGATATTTCCATTCCATACTACAAAAAATAAAGTTTCAACACTCAGAAGGTGAACTTTATTCATGAAATATTATAACTTATTCCCCAACGGTGGTAAATTTGAACTATTTCTATACTATTTTTAAATTGAAAAAAGAGAAAGAGTAGTGTTTTTAATACTATATGGTAGCTTAGTGGAAAGAATTAACTGGGGCTCCAAGGTTCTCCAGTCACAATGAGGACCCCACCTGCAGCCACTAGTCCTGGGACCCTGCCTGTGAACAGCTGTGGTCAATTTTCCCACTCCTGCCAACCAGAGCTCGGCTCACTGTCAGCCTAAAGCCAGCAGCTGCCATCACTGGAGCCTGAACTCTCCCCTGCTTTTTCTTAGGTCCAGATCCCTGTTCTGATCAACTGTCACAGTTGCTGCCTTTGCACCAACCCTACCTATAACCCTTTCCAATGTCTTAGGAATGTGAAATGAAATCCTAGGCATGATATCATTACTTAATATCTAAGTATTACATAAAAGCAAGACATTATCACCTAAAGCTATTAGCATATTCATGTTGGAGATACTGGGGGTTCTTTTCCCTTTCTTATTTATGCCATATGGTTCCTAAGATATATACTGTAAATATCCTCACCACGCTAAGAAAACTTATTTCAGTGAGGATGAAAGTCTTATTTTTGTTTCTTTAGTGTACTTGCCTAATTTAAAGTATAAATGAAAAAAAGCACATGATAGGTTTTGAAATTGTTTTTCTTTGACTTCTAAATTAAGACATTTCTTTTCCAAATTGTGTCACGGAAAAGTAAGAGTCTTCCACTAGAAATTAACATTTTCTTTAAGAAGCTTCTAGTATATCAGGAGTATAAAATAACATTTGCTTCCATTCTGCAAAGTGCTGAGGTGGGGGTGTTTTGTTTTGTTTTGTTTTGTTTTTCTTTCTTGAGACAGAATCTTGCTCTGTCACCCAGGCTGGAGTTCAGTGGCATGAGCTTGGCTCACCGCAACTCCGCCTCCCGGGTTCAAGCAATTCTCCTGCCTCAGCCTCCTGAGTAGCTGGGATTACAGGTACGTGCCACCACGCCCGGCTAATTTTTGTATTTTTAGTAGACACGGGGTTTAACCATGTTGGTCAGGCTGGTCTCGAACTCCTGATCTCATGATCCACCCGCCTCGGCCTCCCAAAGTGTTGGGATTACAGGCGTGAGCCAGCGCGCCCGGCTGAGGGGGGACTGTTTTTAAAAGAAAGATATTTTATGAATATGTTGCTTTCAGTCTGTGTCACTAGTATGGGGAATTATCCTGCTGAAAAAGAGAAAGGACATTCCTTCTTAACACATGTGAAATGGTGATTAGCAGTACCTTCCTGAGTCCAGCATCAGCAACTGTGTTTCAGTTATGAACTACCTCCAAATGCTTTTACCCCTCAAGTGCTTTTTAAAATAGGCACAATTTTAAGTTGGTCTGTGGATTCTGCATGTGCCTTTCTTTAATGATTTTTATCTTAGAACAAGTCCTTGATGCTACAATCTATATGTAGTACCTGAGAAATTAGCCCAGAATTAGATTCAACATCGGGATAAAACCATGAAAAGTGCAGCTCCTCAAACTGGTGAGTTGCATCATTTTATACAGAATTGAAAATGTAAACATGTATTAGCTGTCTTAAACATTCTTGGGTTACAGCTTGACTATTGATTATTTCATTCACTTATTTCTATGACTGAAACTTTCCTTTGAGGATACTGGGAATGCTGGATACTGCTATAGCATGTTTCAGACACCACAAGAAAATGACCATCCTCTCCTCTGGCAATTTCCAGTTACCTATGAACAGCGGCTATGCTAATAACACTCCTTCTTTGGCTAGCAAGCTCTTAGGGCTTCCTATTGTCGTCACTTCCGTGCTTTCCCCACCACCCTAGTTAAGAGAGCCCACCCACAAAGATCTATTATTTCACTCCAGTTGCTTCCTCTTATCTGCTTAATGTTATGGAACCCTGTGAGATAATATTCTATTGTTCTTTAGTAGGAATGAATTTGTATTGTGGGCAGATTATAATTGTTGCATGATTAAGGTATAGCAGATTGTGAACCTGTAATGGGTAGCTGGCTTCTGTTTGCCTCTCCATATTTGAGAGGAATGCCCTGAATGACCCATCCTAGAATGGCTCTCACTGTACCAGGCATCAGTGATGACTGTACATTAGAATCACTGGTAGGAGCCAGGGAGGAGGAATAATGAAACACCAATGACTGGGTCCAACCTCAGAGCAATGAATCACAATATTTGGCATCAGTAGGTCTTACAAGTTTCCCAGCTGATTCTAATATATGGGTCAGGACTGAAATCATTAAGGTGAATCATGAGCTGGGACTCAGAATCTCTGGTCTTGGATATTAGCTGTGAACTAGGGAGGTTGATTAAGTACATGAGGTCTGGAATCAGAGACCATGAGTTTAAATTCTGATTCTGACTCTCAATAGCTTTGTGACCTTGAACAAGTTACTTAACTTCTCTAAGCCAGTTTGCTTATGTGTAAAATGGTGGCTCCCTCAAAGAATAATACACAGTTCTCTTAAGACTTTACCTTGTTAAGTGTTAAGGTGCATCCATAAAATGTCAAACATATAGAAGAAAACTGAGGATTTAAGCCAATTACCTAGCAACTATTTTTCCAATTATCTGAATATTTGTTTAGATTTAGATTTAAAATCTGTGTATTTCCACATATTTGAGAGAATGTTCCCATTTCTTCGTGTCTCACAGAAAGCAACGTTGCTTCAAGATACCAGCATAAGACAGTGATAGCCAAAAAAAGTGGGACACACCTGAGGACAGACACCTCTTTCTGTGTTTTCACTTCTGCATATGCATATTTTTAATGAATGTCAGGAGTTGTATAACATTTGATAATGTAAATATAATTTGAAGTTCAAGGTAAAGTTGTCTTCTGAAAGATTTTACCTTAGTTGTGGAAGTCAAATAAGGATGCCAGCAATCTGGCATTTAACTCATCCAGAGAAGATTTCCAGTACTGAGCTCAAGTAGGCAGAAACCGAAAAGGGAATCAGCAGCCACAAACCAAGTCCAAACAGGTATGTAAACCGGAATCCACACGGTGATCTTCTTACAGTTTAGATATCTGACCCGCCTCCAAACCTCATGTTTAAATTTGATCCCCAGTGGGAGCCTAATAGGAGGTGTCTGGGTCATGGAGGTGGATCCCTCACAATTGGCTTCATGCCATCTTTGCAGTTATGAGTAAGTCCTCACTGTATCAGTACCTGAGAGGGCTGGTTGTTAGAAAAAGCCTGGCCTCTAGAAAAAGCCTGGCCTCTCTCTCTCTCTCTCTCTCTCTCTCTCTCTCTCTCTCTCTTTCTCTCTCTCTCTCTCTCTCTCCTCTCCTGCCATGTGATCTGCACATACCAGCTCAACCTCACCTTCCATTATGAGTGGAAGCTTCCTGAAGCCCTCACCCAGAAGCAAACGCTGGTGCCACGCTTCTTGTAGAGTCTGCAGCACCAGGAGCCAAATAAACCTCTTTTCTTTACAAATTACCCAGCCTCACCTATTCCTTTATAGCAACACAAACAGACTAAGACAGACCTGCACCAAGGACCTCCAGGCATTGTCAAAGAGGCAAAGTACAGGGAATTGGAAGAACCAGGGAGCAATGCATATTCTATAATTTGTTGTATCAGGGTCCCACTGAAGTATTATTTTTATGGGTGTTCTTAATGAGCCCAGTGTCTGACAATACAAATATTTGTTCCCATTTCAAAAGCATGTATGAGCTAAATTCAGAGAACTTAGCTTAAACTTTACCTCATGAAGTTAACTCTAGGTTAATAAAATAATCATAAGATGATTATTCATGATATACACAATAGCATCAGTGTAGTAAATGTGAAAAATAAGCTCATTGATGTACCAGGTATATGGATTAGAAGACCCAATATTGTTAAGACATCCATTCTCCCCAAGTTGTTCTATAGATTCAAATATAAATCCAAGCAGACACTTTGGGGAGGGGAGAGCTGGTAAACAGAAATTGACTAGATGATTCTAAAATTAATATGGAAATGCAAAAGACCTACAATAGCAAAATATTCTTGTAGGAAGGAAGTACAAGGTTAGAGGACCTGCCCTGATCCCAAAATTTATGGATCCCTTAACCAAAAGTTTGTCATAATAAAGCCTCATCTTCTACCCAAGCCAATCATTTTAAAGTCATTTTATTAATTACTCACAGCGCATGCACATAATATACCAAAATTTTTAAACTACATTTCTCTTGAAATACTACCAACATAGTATTCCTCAAAGCGTGATCTGGGGGCCACTCTTCAGAATCACCTTTTAAGAGTTTCTCTAAAATGCTGATGTACAGATTTCTCCCACGCCTAATAAATCACACCCTAGAGGTGGGCTCCAGGAATCTTCATTTTTAACAAGCTTCCTAGACTGATTCTGGGGTATTGTATAATTTGAAAAGGACTTCCCCAGAATTCATTAGATTTTTCCCTAAACAACAATGGCCTTTTCCTACATTTGTCTGAAAAGACATTAGCGTAACAAGATTTTGCTATCAGTAAATAGAAGCACAACTTACCTTCTCTGGTGGATGGTTAGTTATGAGGGCTGTAGCCCTTTTGGTGAATATGTTTGTTGAATACATATTTTTATATCCTGTTGCAACTTCTTCGCCATCTCGAAAATCAAGAGCACATCGTGTGACATTCAGAGCATCAATTAATGTACAGCGCTCATGGGAATAATAATCTTCACTACCCAGGAGATATCCTGCAAGAATGGAAGACGAAAATAGTTAGCATAGCATAAAACTTGTTAAACAAACTAATGTTTCAGCATTTAATTGCCTAATGCAATTGATTACCCGTGACTAGGCTAATCAAATGACAAGGCTAATCAGCACCATTTCTCAACATGTCTGTATCTGGTAGCAGAAGGCATTAAAACATTACTGTATAAAAACTCAAATCTATTCCTCATTCACCTTTAGAATATAGGCTCTATTATGTAACACTAACAGTTTTTTTTGTTTTAAATCAGAGTTGAAATTCAGTAAGGGTGATAAAATCTTAATCCTTCAAAGCTATATAATGGTAAAAATAATGTATCATTAATGTGACTTGTTACAGGTTTTTACTCTAAGTTGATCACATAAATGAGTGTAGGATTCAAATAACCTTTGTTGTTACTGATGTTGCAAGACTGGCTTCAAGGTTATTTACAGAAGTGGTTCTAGGAAGAGTCATCTTCAGTCAGATGCTGACACCCACTGGTGAAAGATACAAACCCTTCCTAATAGAGGATCTCTAGATGTAACAGAGTCAACAGATCAAACTAAAGTGAGCACTGAAATAAGACTTTTCTACCTATAATGATTTCAATTTTGCCCCAGATTTAAATGGCCTATCCCATAATTTTGACTTCACATGGAAGAAAATGGGTTTTCTCAACTCATAGTTGTTTCTGCAAATGTTCCATATTTTCTATATTTTAAAATATTACATTTCTGTATTTTAAAGTATTAAAATAAGCTGTGCTACATATGATTCCATTTGTATTAAATGTCCATAACATGTAAATCTATAGAGACAGAAAGTAGATTAGTGGTTGCCTAGGGCTGGAGAGACTAGGAGGAAATGGGGAGTGACTGCTAAGGTGGATGAGTTTCTTTTTTGGGGGTGATAAAAATGTTCTACAATTGGATCACCATGATAGTGGCACAACCTTCTGAATTTATTAAGAATCACTGAATTGTACACTTTAATTGGGCGAATTGTATGATATGTGAATTATACTTCGATAAAGTTATTAAAAAGAAATATGATTTGCTAGACTTTTGGCTATCTCCTGACATATACTGCTTATTGACCTTAAAATGAGGATGATAAAGTTGACCTAGCTCTTTCCTCAGTCCTGAACTTTCCCTATAATGACAATTAAGAGCTTTATATACTTTATATAATAAATCAATTCATTTTAAATTAAACTCTCCTTTTCTATGACCCAATAAATTCAAGATCTTGAATACAATTAATACTTTGGTCTTAACTTTTATAAGGCAATCTTTTCTCCTATGTATATAATGGAAAAGGAAATACAAAGTACTTGTTAATTAATGTGTAACAGAGAAAGAAATGTATCCATAAAAATAATTTCAGCCCTTGTATGGGTGATTAGAATGTCAAAACACTGGAGGTCTATTTAAGATTTTTAATAACTACTGGGCATTAAAGCTTGAGGAAATCATTTCAGGTTCTTTAACTGTAAGTGTGAGCTGCTTTCTATCAGCTGGCAGAACATAGGACAGATATACTTGATTAGCAAAGGCATGAACTACAAATACTTAAAAGATAATACAGATAGGAGAAATCCAGAAATAAAACTATTCGAATACTTGGCAAAACTAATACCAAGCAACCATGTGACAATCATATGAAGCTTTTCATCACAACAGTGATTCATAAATTTGAACTTCAATACTGAGCCTAAAGATGACAGCATCCTGTTCTTTTGGGGAAAAAAATAGACAATGCTTCTTGAACAACCAAATCTTCTCTGATGCTTTATTTACCAGCTGCATTGAGATATAATTCACATACCACACAAGTCACTCATTTAAGGTGTAAAAGACATTGGTTTCTAGTGTATTCACAGGGTTGTGCAACTATCCCACCATCATCTGATGTTTAGCAAAACAGCTGAGATGTAACAGTGGTAAGAGCTATGTGGTCATCATAACCTTCTTGGCTGCAAGACTCCCTTCAAATGAATTTGGGGTGTGTGTTCATCTAAATCCAGATTAGGCTTCTTAATTCTCATAAAAGGAAGGGTATCAATCAAAACCACTCAACTACATGGAAACTGAACAACCTGCTCCTGAATGACTACTGGGTACATAACGAAATGAAGGCAGAAATAAAGATGTTCTTTGAAACCAATGAGAACAAAGATACAACACACCAGAATCTCTGGGACACATTTAAAGCAGTGTGTAGAGGGAAATTTATAGCACTAAATGCCCACAAGAGAAAGCTGGAAAGATCTAAAATTGACACTCTAACATCACAATTAAAAGAACTAGAGAAGCAAGAGCAAACACATTCAAAAGCTAGCAGAAGGCAAGAAATAACTAAGATCAGAGCAGAACTGAAGGAGACAGAGACACAAAAAACCCTCCAAAAAATCAATGAATCCGGGAGCTGGTTTTTTGAAAAGATCAACAAAATTGATAGACCGCTAGCAAGACTAATAAAGAAGAAAAGAGAGAAGAATCAAACAGACGCAATAAAAAATGATAAAGGGGATATCACCACCGACCCCACAGAAATACAAACTACCATCAGAGAATACTATAAACACCTCTACGCAAATAAACTAGAAAACCTAAAAGAAATGGATAATTTCCTGGACACTTACACTCTCCCAAGACTAAACCAGGAAGAAGTTGAATCCCTGAATAGACCAAGAGCAGGCTCGGAAATTGAGGCAATAATTAATAGCCTACCAACCAAAAAAAGTCCAGGACCAGACGGATTCACAGCCGAATTCTATCGGAGGTACAAGGAGGAGCTGGCACCATTCCTTCTAAAACTATTCCAATCAAGAGAAAAACAGGGAATCCTCCCTAACTCATTTTATGAAGCCAACATCATCCTGGTACCAAAGCCTGGCAGAGACACAACAGAAAAAGAGAATTTTAGACCAATATCCCTGATGAACATTGATGCGAAAATCCTCAATAAAATACTGGCAAACCAAATCTAGCAGCACATTAAAAAGCTTATCCACCATGGTCAAGTGGGCTTCATCCCTGGGATGCAAGGCTGGTTCAACATACGCAAATCAATAAACATAATCCAGCATATAAACAGAACCAAAGACAAAAACCACATGATTATCTCAATAGATGCAGAAAAGGCCTTCGACAAAATTCAACAGCCCTTCATGCTAAAAACTCTCAATAAATTCGGTATTGATGGAACATATCTCAAAATAATAAGAGCTATTTATAACAAACCCACAGCCAATATCACGCTAAATGGGCAAAAACTGGAAGCATTCCCTTTGAAAACTGGCACAAGACAGGGATGCCCTCTCTCACCACTCCTGTTCAACACAGTGTTGGAGGTTCTGGCAAGGGCAATCAGGCAAGAGAAAGAAATAAAGGGTATTCAGTTAGGAAAAGAAGAAATCAAATCGTCCCTGTTTGCGGATGACATGATTGTATATTTAGAAAACCCCATCATCTCAGCCCAAAATCTCCTTAAGCTGATAAGAAACTTCAGCAAAGTCTCAGGATACAAAATCAATGCGCAAAAATCACAAGCATTCTTATATACCAGTAACAGACAAACAGAGAGCCAAATCATGAATGAACTTCCATTCACAATTGCTTCAAAGAGAATAAAATACCTAGGAATCTAACTTACGAGGGATGTAAAGGACCTCTTCAAGGAAACTACAAACCACTGCTCAGTGAAATAAAAGAGGACACAAACAAGTGGAAGAACATACCATGCTCATGGATAGGAAGAATCAATATTGTGAAAATGGCCATACTCCCCAAGGTAATTTATAGATTCAATGCCATTCCCATCAAGCTACCAATGACTTTCTTCACAGAATTGGAAAAAAACTGCTTTAAAGTTCATATGGAACCAAAAAAGAGCCTGCATCTCCAAGACAATCCTAAGTCAAAAGAACAAAGCTGGAGGCATCACGCTACCTGACTTCAAACTGTACTACAAGGCTACAGTAACCAAAACAGCATGGTACTGGTACCAAAACAGAGATACAGACCAATGGAACAGAATGGAGTTCTCAGAAATAATACCACACATCTACAGCCATCTGATCTTTGACAAACCTGAGAAAAACAAGAAACGGGGAAAGGATTCCCTATTTAATAAATGGTGCTGGGAAAATTGGCTAGCCATAAGTAGAAAGCTGAAACTGGATCCTTTCCTTATTCCTTATACGAAAATTAATTCAAGATGGATTAGAGACTTAAATGTTAGACCTAAAACCATAAAAACCCTAGAAGAAAACCTAGGTAACACCATTCAGGACACAGGCATGTGCAAGGACTTCATGTCTAAAACACCAAAAGCAACGGCAACAAAAGCCAAAATTGACAAATGGGATCTAATTAAACTAAAGAGCTTCTGCACAGCAAAAGAAACTACCATCAGAGTGAACAGGCAACCTACAGAATGGGAGAAAAATTTTGCAATCTACTCATCTGACAAAGGGCTAATATGCAGAACCTACAAAGAACTCAAACAAATTTATGAGAAAAAAGCAAACAACCCCATCAAAAAGTGGGCAAAGTATATGAACAGACATATTTCAAAAGAAGACATTCATACAGCCAACAGGCACATGAAAAAATGCTCATCATCACTGGCCATCAGAGAAATGCAAATCAAAACCACAATGAGATACCATCTCACACCAGTTAGAATGGCGATCACTAAAAAGTCAGGAAACAACAGGTGCTGGAGTGGAGAAATACGAACACTTTTACACTGTTGGTGGGATTGTAAACTGGTTCAACCATTGTGGAAAACAGTATGGCGATTCCTCAAGGATATAGAACTAGAAATACCATATGACCCAGCCATCCCATTACTGGGTATATACCCAAAGGATTATAAATCATGCTGCTATAAAGACACATGCGCACACATATGTTTATTGTGGCACTATTCACAATAGCAAAGACTTGGAACCAACCCAAATGTCCATCAGTGACAGACTGGATTAAGAAAATGTGGCACATATACACCATGGAATACTATGCAGCCATAAAAAAGGATGAGTTTTTGTCTTTTGTAGGGACATGGATGCAGCTGGAAATCATCATTCTCAGCAAACTATTGCAAGAACAGAAAACCAAACACCACATGTTCTCACTCATAGGTGGGAATTGAACAATGAGATCACTTGGACTCTGGAAGGGGAACATCACATACCGGGGCCTATTATGGGGAGTGGGGACGGGGGAGGGATGGCATTGGGAGTTATACCTGATGTAAATGATGAGTTGATGGGTGCTGATGAGTTGATGGGTGCAGCACGCCAACATGGCACAAGTATACATATGTAACAAACCTGCCCATTGTGCACATGTACCCTAGAACTTAAAGTATAATAAAATAAATAAATAAATAAATAAATAAAAGGATATCATTTCTACCTTCTGTCCAGCTGAATATTTAAGTACCTAACTTGGTTTTAATAAAAAATTCAAAATATCTACAGTCCATCCTCTTCCCAGAGTATAGATATTGACCCATCTTTTAGCAAAGGCCTGACTGAAAAACTTCTAAGGATGTACAGGCTGTTTGTTCCTCTATGACAAAGTGATCTTACATCCAAGCTTAATTTTTAACAGCTATTTGAGGTACTGAGAATACATCCGGGTTCATTAAAAAAAAAAAAAAAGCTAAGATTGAGTAGTGAGGTCTGCTGGCAGACCTGGATGAGAGTGGGGCACACACACCCTCCTGTCTGCCATCCTTGCATCTTGATTTTAACCCTGAATCCAATGAGGCATTACAGAGTCATGTGCTTCAGCTGCATTGTTTTGGCCCCCATACACTTTCTTTCACTGAATTGCACTTTGGTGCTCTGGCCCTAGCTTGAACAGAAGAAAATACCTCAAAACATCTACAAGAAAACCACCACTTTATTATTAAAATGACATTTTTAAGGATGTTGTCCACCTTACCTTCTCCTTCTCCCAAAGGAGAAATTTCTCTCAGGCCTAAGAGCCAGAAAATGCTTTTGCTTTTCCTGAACATCTGGTTTCCATGTATCTTGTAAATAATGTAACTCTTAGAGTCTTTTCCTTTCTTTCTCCCTCTTTGGACAAATATATTTCAAATCTCAGGCTGGGCACGGTGGCTCACCCCTGTAATCCCAGCACTTTGGGAGGCCAAGACGGGTGGATCACAAGGTCAGGAGTTCGAGACCAGCCTGACCAACATGGTGAAACCCTGTCTCTACTAAAAATATAAAAACTAGCCAGGCTTGTTGGTGCATGCCTATAATCCCAGCTACTCAGGAGGTTGCAGTGGGATGAGATCGTGCCATTGCACTTCAGCCTGAGAGACAGAGCGAGACTCCGTCTCCAAAAAAAAAAAAGAAATTTCGAATCTCGGAGTTGAATATGAAGCCAGCCTAGAGCCATGCAACTTTTCTGTAATTTGATGTCATTAACCTATTCCATCTTTTTCTACTCATCCTGATTATTTAATCCTATTTTAACTTTTTATGTTCAATATGCGTTCCTTTTTGGCTATGGCGGGTTGTAAATAAATAAATAAACTGATGGGAGGCAGGTAGGTGGCTAAATAGCTGGACAGATAGCTCACTATAAAAAGAACTTGAAAGAAAGATATACAGCTACTGGCGAGATACATAGGTTATTAATTAAGGCACAGGTTGTTACAGGTTTAAAGAGGGCATATTTTAAACAAACTCTAGGTTTCACATTTAGTTTCATAGGGCTATCAAGTTTATAAAATACTTATGATTATTTCTTATTAACCTTCTTATTACCATTTGTTATTTGGCCTCCTCATTTTCTTTTATGTTTTAAAAGCTATCTTCCCCAACCTTGTGATTGCAAAAACAGATTTCACAGATGGAAGGACGCCAATGGAAGAGTCTTCCCCCACCCCCTTCAGAAAAAAAGAAAAAATTGTGAATACATTCCACAGGGAGAAAAAAACACACCAAGTCTTTGTGAAGAAAATATTCTTTTTTAAAAAAATTTATTATTATTATTATTTGAGACGGAGTCTCGCTCTGGTACCCAGGTTGGAGTGCGGTGGCGCGATCTCAGCTCACTGCAATTTCCGCCTCCCAGGTTCACACCATTCTCCTGCCTCAGCCTCCCGAGTAGCTGGGACTACAGATGCCCGCCACCTTGCCCGGATAATTTTTTTTGTATTTTTAGTAGAGTCGGAGTTTCACCGTGTAAGCCAGGATGGTCTCAATCTCCTGACCTCATGATCCACCCACCTCAGCCTCCCAAAGTGCTGGGATTACAGGCGTGAGCCACTGCACCTGGCCTGGAAATATTCTTACATTAGGTTTTGCCTGGAATTAAAAAAAAAAGGTCAATCCATGTCCCTTTTTGGTAGTAAGGGTCTCTGAGAGTACAGCGGTCTCCAACGTGGATAGTAAACTCTTGCAAGGCCCTAAGGTGGCATTTAGAACTCTGACAAAGGTAATGGGCTTGCCCACCATAAGGTCAGCACAGAGCCCCACTTACAGAGGTAACATCAGAAAGCAGCCCCATGGCAGTGCCGACTGATTCACTCTGTGTTCAAATTTCCAGTTATTTCACTTAATTGCACTTGGGTGTGTTTTATGAGATGGCTGCAGTCAGTCTGAGTTGTTAAAGAAACATGTGCATTTCCATTACCAAAGTAGGTATCAAATCCTCGGCGGGTTGGAAGGCATTCTTTCCGGTACATTCCCAGGTGCCATTTTCCGACCATATGGGTAGTATAACCTGCTTCTTTTAGGAGCTGGGGCAGGAGTTTTTCATCCAAAGGAACACAGCTGGGCTGACAGGGCCAGATTATTTGGTGCTGTAAACCTGTACGGATCTTACAGAGATAAACATAAAATTATAGATTAATGACACTGAAATATTGTGAACAAGCAGATAAAATGGCCTTTACCTTACTGATCATATCTGTTGACTTGGATGTTTAACTGTATTCCTGTACTTGCTTGAGGATGTTTCTGAAAGGCAGAATTATCTTATTCAAATAGAGTAGTGGACATAAACAGGATTTGAAAGACAAAACCATTCCAACAAACAGATATTTTCAACATCTATCAAGGCACTATGTTAGAAACCATTAACTTGTTACTTCTTGCCTCAGAAAAAGTAGCAATAATATGTGGTGTGAATCTATCAAGAAAAAGTTCCAATTTTGGGCACAGAAGAAGTTGGTGTTTCACTAGAAGACACTTCTGTAATCTTTGAAAACCTGGTGATTTTTTACAAGTGCTTTTGTTTTTGTTTTTGTTTTTGTTTTGAGATGGAGTTTCACTCTTGTTGCCCAGGTTGGAGTGCAATGGCTTGATCTCAGCTCACTACAACCTCCGCCTCCCAGGTTCAAGTGATTCTCCTGCCTCAGCCTCCTGAGTAGCTGGGATTACAGGCGCCTACTACCACGCCCAACTAATTTATTGTATTTTTAGTAGAGATGGGGTTTCACCATGTTGGCCAGGCTGGTCTCGAACTCCTGACCTCAGGTGATCTGCCCACCTTGGCTTCCCAATGTGTTGGGATTACAGGCGTGAGCCACCGTGCCTGGCTGAGTTATTTAACAGTATAATAAAATGATTATTTCCATTTTTTATTCTACTTTATGTAAATCAAAATCTCAAAAGACTGTGTTCAACTTTTCCTTTTAAAAAGCGGCCATCTGACTGCTGCTTGGGAGTGGCTCACACAAGTATGTCCGGGGCATAAGGTCCATCCAGCAACTAAACTTTAAGCAATGACCACTTGTTAACTTTTGGTGTAATATTGAATTGAATACCCACAATTATATGAAAAGGATATTAAAATAGCCCTCCCTTTTCCAACTACACATCTGTGTGGGGCCAGATTTTTCTTCTTCAATTTTTACCAAAAATAATATATCATAACAGGTTAAATGCAGAAGCAGATACAACCACATAGCAAACTTCTATTACTAGAAAAGATGTTAAAAAAATATAAAACAATGCCATTCTTCTCACTTAATTATTTGGTTTTGAAAAACAGAGCTTTTTTCATAAGTTATTTATGTTAATATAGTGGGTTTATTACTATTTTTCATTGAAAAAAAATTTATAATTTGTTTTAACTTATGGCAAATTTTGAATGGTAACAACCCACTTAAATCTATGCTCCCTGGGGTCCTCAATAATTTTTAAGCAAGTGCAAAGATCCTAAGACCAAAAAGTTTGAGAACTGATACTCTAATGTCCAATATGATCACTGCCATGAGGAAAAGGAAAGAAGGAGAGGGAGACAGTGACAGAGGTGGCACTTGCGACAGAGTGGAAAAGAAAGCCTCTCTGGACCAGGCAAGGTGGCTTATCCCTGTAATCCCAACACTTTGGGAGGCTAAGGCAGGAGGATAGCTTGACTCCAGGAATTCCAGAAGAGCCTGGGCAACATGCCATGATCTCATCTCTACTAAAAATAAAAATAAAAATAATTAGCAGGGTATGGTGGCCTGTGCCTGTAGTCCCAGCGACTGAGGAGACTGAGGTGGGAGGATTACTTGAGCCTGCGAGGTCAAGGCTGCAGTGAGCTGTGATCACTCCACTGCACTGCACTCCAGCCTGGGCAACAGAGCAAGATCCTATCTCAAAAAAAGAAAGAAAGAAAGAAACCTTTTCTGAAGAGGAGATATTTGAGCAGTGACCAGAATAAAGTGAGGTGGTGAGACTTGGAGAAATCCAGGGTAAGAGCAATCCAGACCTAAGGAATAAAAACTTCAAAGGCCCTGAGACCTGAGCTTACTAGACAAGTTCAAAAGGCCAGCCCAGAACCCAGAGTGGCCCTGTCACAGCTCTTGTGCTGGTGGGTGCCACTGTAGCCCCTGCTGCGGCATGACAGGGTTCTCCTTGTCTACCCAGTCCCACCCTTCCCTAAAACTTGACACCTCCTGCCTCCTTTCCTGGCTTAGCCAGGGAGGTGCTCTTCTTTGTAGGAAGTGGGACTGGGGTCTCAAATTCAACTCTGCACCAGACACCAGCCTTCCCCAGTACTGGGAGCTCTTGATTTATAGAATAAACAGGCTCTGGGGACAAGGGAGGTAAGAGTGCCAGTTCTCAACCCAGGCCATGGCTGGTCCCTTCATCAGCTGTAAGGTGGAGAGCAAGAAATGTGTTGCTAATAAACGATTTTTTATAAGTGTTTGTATTTTATTTGCCTTATAATTTAAAGCAGAGTAGCATAAGGCTGAGAGAATTAAATCCCATTCTGGTTTTATCACTTATGAGCTTTGTAACCCTGGGCAGTAACTTCATTCAGTAACCCACTAACTTCAGTAACTTTAGTAAGTTAGGAATTGCACCTGCTATTGCTTTACTGCATGATCTCTTTCCACATCCTCCTAAAAGAACAACATGGAATATCTTAAGTGTTAAGTTAAAGTGGGTTTATCTTGAGAATGATGGGTAAGTTCACTATCTTGATGTGGTGATGGTTTCACAGGTATATACCTATCAAAGCTTATCGAATTGTATACTTGAAGTGTGTACAGTTTATTGTATGTCAATCATATCTCAATAAAACTGTTTAAAAATAAAAGTGAGTTTAAGTTTTCTACTGAGATTGTTATGCCTCTCCTAGAAGTAATAGACACCTACCTACATTGGGATATGTGCCAGATACCTTCCGTTTGCCCTTCAAATCCACGCTGCCTTCTCAGTCCTGCTCTCTGCCCTAGGAGGCTGACCTGTGAGGATCAAGTCAAAGGACACTTGTCTTCTGGTTTCTGATTGGGCTCAGCCAATGGGGAGCCCTGGCAGGAGTGAGAGGGAAAAAGGAGAGTGCATGGCCTCGGTTGACAGGCTGCTTAGCCTGGCTACACGAGTCTCTCTACCGAAGGTCACTCTGGAAGCGGACTTCTTTCTCTATCTGCCTCTCTCCTTCTAGGTTCTGGTAACTGGCCCTTCCTTTCTTCTCTTCTGGTCTAGGGGTAGTAACAGTTCCACTGGATTACTACACCGTCCCTAGCATTTTGCCCCACACATTCACACCTTTTAAAATAGTCCCTTTGTAAATAAACACTCCCTAATTTGAATGTGCCATCTCTTTCCAGCTGGGACCCTGAAGGGTAAGGATGTTGTAATATCCAGGCTGGGAAACGGAAGCATTCCTCTTAGCACATGTGCATGCGTGCACACACACACACACACACACACACACACACACCCCAAATCAAAGAAATATTCCTTCCACCGTTAACTCTGGAAGCTTACTGAAGAGAAAATTGACCCTAGGACTCAAAAACTTCATTGTATATAGTATGCTAATTGGCAACCAGGCAGGACAAGTAAAGATAATATTTTATGGAATCCAAAAGCCCCAGTGGAGATAAATGCTCTGTGAAAATTTCCTTAAATGGAAAGCTCATCCATCACATGCAGAGAATTAACTCTGATCGCTAGAAAGCACTGCCAAGAGATGTTGTGCGATTTGGTTTCCCTAAGCCATGGGTGCCAAGCCAGGTGGTCAGCTGAAGCCTGCCTCCATTATCTACAATCATATGGAGCAGGGAATGTGTTCTTTTCGGTTCCTGAGAATTTATTTGACAGAGCATTTTTATGGCATTATTGGGAAGCAGAAGCCAAACCCTGGATGACATCCAAAAACATGTTTTCGGTCTGTTCAAACACTATCTGAAGGAAGGAAGCTGTAATGTGTAGAGAAGCAGTAAACAGGCTAATGCCGAGCTGGTTCCAACCCAGCACTTTAGCACACAACTACAGAGCCACGCCATGCTGCATGGGGCAGGAAGGCAACCGGGCACCAATAGGAATCAAAAGAAAAAAGAAAAAAGGGTGCCCTGATAAACACAACAGAATATAAAACAATTTCATTCTAACACCCATCTGCAATGTCCAAAGAAGTGTGTTTGAATGGAGAAGGTTCTACATGTAATATACAAAAGTCCAAGGGGTTACCTCCCTATGTACCATGTGTGGCTGTCTCCTCTTCATTAAATCAAATCTTCTCTCAAAAAACTTCTCCTAAGATTTTACCTGACCATCAAAAATCCTCTCCACAAAGGTTAAAGGTCTGCAAATCCTGTGGAGGACCTGGCTCGTTCTAGGCTCTTTCTGTGACATAACTGAGAGACCCTTGTTTACATATTGCTTGCATGTAACAATTTATTTGGTCCAGTGTGTTATTCTGTCTTCCCCACACCTAGGAGATCCCTGCAGTATAGTCTCATGAGCTTAAAGGACAAAAAACAATCTCTTGCTGGGGGAGAGGAAGATGGCAGCTCCCATATCAGAATCTCTTCCAATTCCCCTTTCAGAGGTCCAGACAGTCAATCGATTAGTTATCTATATGGGAGTTCAGAGCACAATCTTTCAGCTACACTCAAACTCTCCCAAGAGTGAAGCAAACCACTGCTGCACAGAAGGCGACAGAGGTTCTTTCTCTCCGCACCTCAACAGTGTTGACATAATATCCCGTTGAACAGAAGGGAGGTTCTGTCCAGTCAGTCTGGTCTGAGCAAAATGAACTCACATCCTCATGTGCCCACATATGTGTGCAATACTTCCTGCTGCAGTACTTAAAAATTCAGAAAAATGGGCCACTCTATCCCTCCACTTTATACACCAGAGAGCCTAATGGGAAGCTTCATGATCAGAATGCAATCACAGAACACGCCGGTGGCAAAGCAGGAGTTCAGAATTTCTAGCCTGTGCCTCGGCCAGTACACGGCAAGTTTTAACCACGGTCAAGTAGCACTTGTGCCACCTTAGGGTTTATTCCTGGAGATGCCCAAAGAACAAATGGATAGTGAAAAATCTGCTCCCTCCCCACAGAAGCCATTTAAAAAGCAGTCAGCTGTCCATG